CTGGGTAATATTGTCTCTGTGCTTGCTGGTGGGGTAGGATGCTGCCCTTCCCCTTCCTGACCCTGGCGTTTGGGATGGCTGGGGTGTGGGTCTCTGTGAGCCACTAGCAGCTGTGTGTCAGTCTGGACACAAGCTGGGCCCATCCAGAAGCCAGGCCTAGCCGACAGATGCAGAAGCTAAACCCAATAATGAAATAATACTGGGAGACATCATGTCCGTGGTTTCCATCATTGTTAAAAGATTTTGGTAGCGTGTACCCCCACTTAGGTAATTTGTTTCCATGTATAATCCTATTGCTCACTATTAAATTAAACCAACTGGTCATTTCAGTTTGGAGCCTATAAATACACTGGTTGCTGTGTGCATGGGCACTATGTGGGACGTCTCATCTGATTAGAGGGGAAGCACTTAATAATTTGTACTGAAAAAGGTGACCTTCAGTGTCAGGCGACCTCAGTGGTCTGCCACACATATGGCCTCGCAATATTACTAATGTCTGCTCCTAATGTATTTTTACAATCCTGATCCAGAGCCACTCTGCACAAATTGTTTTGGACAAATGTTGATGTGTGGTGCACTACACTGGAGCTATTTACATGCTCACGAGCAGTGGTATCATGGACAGCAGATGAACTGGTCAGCAAAGGTCACAGGCCCAATATGGAGGCCTGACATGGGAATTTTACCAGTATCTGATATGCCAGTATTTTCAAACTCATATAGGCCATAAGTGATACTGATACTTAATACACATGTAAATATATTTAAACCAGGGGTGTAACAATATGGTAAACCCAGGGTTTTTTTTTTACACTTGTTGTATTTTTGGTCATGTTTTTATAGCTTGGTTTGGCTCTGATAGCTTGAACTATTTGAGTAAACAGTAGCATTTATCAGAATAGACTTGATAGAATTAGAATATAATGCCATAAGTATGTTTGAATAAAGATATGATCACTTCAATAGAAGAAGTGTTATGTTTCTCTTAACTTCTAATGAACTTTTTATGTGTACATAAGGAACAGGTCCCCCTCTGTGGAGGCTGCCATCTTGCGTCACCATGTTTCTACCATCCCACAGAACAGACAAACTGGTAACATGCATGTTTAGTGGGTGGCCCTGCAAAATACAGCAGCTAGATTAAGAAGAGAGTGGTTACTGTTGTGCACAATAAAATTTTTATTAATAGCCAATTTGATGATAAAACTTAAGGACTGCTCTTTATGCATCACAGGAGCTTCTTGTCTTCCAAGGCCACCGTCACTTTTCTAACAGAAAGGGGTGAGCAGGGGAGTGTTTCACTTTAAGATATGGCTACACAGGACTCAGATATCACTAAATATTTTCATGTCTACACACTTTAACACTCAGGTTGAAGACAAAATTAAAACATCCTCACTCACTGGGTTTACACTAAATTTATTAGATTGCTGCATGTCACAGCAATGAAGTGAGAGGGCGCCATACAGCTTAACTGCAGTTTATTTTCAACACAGGTCATTGCCGGCTGGGGGCAAAGGCAAACCAGTCAGAACAAAATTTTACACCACCAAAAGGTAAGAACCACCACACACCGCTCTGCCAGAGGTAACTGACACACTAACAGCTTTAAAGCACCTCGTACATCTCTGATGTCATCTGACACATGCTAGCTTTTGGCTTGGATTATAAATGCTGGGAGCCCCTGTGTTGTCATTGTAAGACAGAAAGGTTGCCATATTTACCCCTCAGGTGGTACTAAACAACAGGCATTTACAAACTGCAAGCTGCCAGCTAGAGTTGCTAACATGCTAGCTTGAGGCTAAGATTAGCTACACATGTTGGTTTGTTCCCTCATGCACTTTAAAACTTTATATCCAAGAACAATAAACCTGCCTGTACAGTGATTAATCCCTCTGGTCTCAAAATAAAAAGCTGTTGAGGGTAGCTTTTGGCTTTTCTCTAGTCTAAGCTTTATGACGGAAAGAAAGATATTTTAGATGCTAGGTTTCTCAGAATTGATTCACTGACAGTTTAAACGTGTGCTTTAGCCAACCAAACATGACACACCAAGGATTATCCCTGTGTCTGTAAAATATTCCAGTCATCTGCCAATATTTATCAGACTGATAAATATCCAGCCTCCTTGGCTCCCAAGTCAAAAATGTCTTATAGACGGACTTTTTTCCCAAGGCAGCTTGTTTTATTTTATCCCACTTCATCATCACTCTTTGTCATTCTTGTGTTCAGCTTTGGTGAGCTAACAAGGACCATGCTGCATAGATGACACATCTTCTAGAAATATCCCTCTAAAAATATCAATTTTCAAGTGTCTCCCAGACCTTGTCCAGGCCTGATTTGAGTTTGGATCATGATGTATCTTGGCAGTTGTTTATTCTTGAATTTATCATCGTCCACTTGTGATAAAATAGCCTAAAACATATTAAAACCATGACTATGATGGGGCTATAAAAACTTTGTGGGGCTGTAGCCTGAAAACAAAACAAAACAAAACAAAACAAAACAAATAAAGAAACGTTTCCATTGGGAAGTAACAAACTTGATCATCATTTGCAAATTTGACGGTTTTGTTACATTAAAACCTCTGAGGGTTTTTTTTTTACATTAAGGAAATAGAATAAAATCCATACTGACATTTCCTTATGTAATACAAATGCAAACACGACCATCAGCAGCAAGGTAAATGATTACTGAAATTCATTTTTATGTTTAAAAACAATGTAAGAAGCTAAACGAAGAGTTTGATGGAGGCTGAAATAATGATATTTTAATACCCTACTGTGAGAAATTTGAGGCTTAACGAAAAGAGGTATAACAAAGAAAGTGTAGTGTCTAAAAAAAAAGTGCATGATACCCCCTCTCTAAGTTTGGTCCAGGTCTGTCCCTGTGTCCCATTTAAACCTCTCCACCGGCCAAGGGGAGCTCGGTAAGGAGCAGCTTAATAGATTTAGATGAAAGGAGGGAGTCATGGAGGCCTGGACTTGCAGAGAGAGACAGAGAGAGAGAGAGCATCTGCTCAAAGGCCACCTCCCTACGCCCGGATCACCATCTCCAGAAGAAGCCGGGCAGGCATGGAGCCTCCATCTCCACAGCTCCACACTAATTCCAGTGCCCCCGCCACACGCAGGCTAATTAAGGCCATGCATTTATTTATGACTGAGCTCATTAAACAGCGAAAAAGATGGTCGCTGCTCTGAAAACACATTAGTCCCCGAGGAAACTGCCTGTGAAGTCGCTCCCCTCAGGCTGTTTCAGGTCACAGATTCTGAATCTTTGTGACATATGAAGAAACAGCAAACTGTTAATGCCTTTAAAAAGAGAAAACATCAGTTCTGAGGCGATGGAGGGATGGTTCAGGACATTCTTCAGGGGATATTTGAAGCTGCATGAACTGGTCCCATAATTACATGTATAGGTCATTGACTGGGGGACCAACAGAAATTCCACTCTCAGGTCCTGTACTTTGCATTTTTGTCTTGGGGTGTTTATGAAATCTGTTGTTCTTTACATTCCTGATATACTTCATTTAACAAATCATGACAGCAGCAGCAAAAGAAAGACACTAAAGGCAAATGTAATTAATGGACATAACTCAACTTCAGTGAACACAAAATGCCCCCAACCTCTAGCTAAACCAACCACGTGTTTCCACGTGTTTCCATGGTATTTAAGTGAATATAGGCTGTGCTGAGCTCTGAAATCAAAGACAGAGGATATCCTTCAGGTATATTTTCTCTGCCTGTAGTGCTTGCCTTTCTCTCCCACTCTCTGCATATGTGTGTGTGTGTGTGTGTGTGTATGAGTAAAGGGCATAGACTGAGAGATCTTTTGCAGATCCTTCTCCCTCCCTTGTAATTGCAAAGATAATGCTAAATCACACAGTCCTTTGCTGTGACAACTGGCAACTTGATTTAGTGCTCTCTAATGGCTCCAACTTTGAAGACTCTGAAGTTTCTTGTTTGAACTCGCACTGCTGAGCTGCTCATCTGGACTGGAAACAAATGAAAAATACACTTTTTTTTATGCCTTCACCCAAAGACGGCCAATGTCTGTTTTTATGAGCATAGAAAAGTTACAGGAGTTACAAAACCACTTTGAATCACACAAGTTGTGGTTTGGTTGCTCTCCAGTGTAGATCGCATACAAGATGCTAATGCTAACACCATATCAGCTGCTGCATATCTCTTCTGCTTCATTTATGGATTTAAACCACCATAATGTCAAAACGCGACCAATTACTGATTATTAAACACACGCATAGCAGTATTTAGGCATAACTGCAATGAGTCATTCACCTGAGTGAGGTTAAACAGCTGGAGAAGCTCAGTGAGCAAACCATGTGGCCATTTCCAAAGTAAAATGTGTAGCTATGTGTTAAATGTGGGAATGAGTCAAAGTATTTCAACAGCATGTGTGTCATGGGTTAAGTAAAAAAAATAAAAAAATAAGCAGCAGTGTTGAAAAATAAGCCAGTGGGGAAGTTTCTCAACTGTCTACTTGAGGCTAGCTGCAAAAAAAAAAAAAAAGCTGCTTGACTGACATCGACCCCCAGTGCTCATTTTAGACATTAAAAATTACTTTATACAAATCATTCCACTTGTCACTAGTAGGTGACAGTAGGCTTATTTCCATTTGTGTATGACAAAAAGATATTAAAATGATTGTCCGTCTAATCCATTAATGTCAAAAAACTCCTCAGGAAAACCTAAAATATAACATGGTACATGAGATCTGTAGCCAATTCCTTACCTCTGCTATGTGCCAGCAACTCAGGGCTACTTCAGCCACTATTAGCACATGATGCCCACGCCTCAACCAAACATTTAGAAGTAATGGAAAATATATGTACCAGAAAATATTGTTATATTATCTACCATGAACATGTGATGTCTTATTTCTTTAAGAGGAGTAGGCTAACTCAAAGGCTGTTCAGATTTAACGTGTATTTCACCACTTCAGACTAAGAGCATAACTATTTAAAACAAAGGAGAATAGGTGGCCACAAAATATCAAACAGTGAGATAGGTTTGTTGAATTTACCATGCTAAATTCAACAGACCTATCTCACTGTTTGATATTTTGTGAGTCCACCGTATCCATAGCAACAGTGTGCCATTAAGAAATAACAGACTGTGAATGGCATTCAACAACAATGGTCACAATAATGTTTGCTAAGAAGAGGCTAAATCTAAGTTGTTGTTCTACAGCTGCCAAAGGATAAACACGTGATTACACACACTTACTGGTCTTTTGCAAAGTTGTGACAACATTCCTTATATTCTTTTGTCCTGCTGCAAACATGTCCATACTCTTTTGGTAATGTGGTTTAGCTCATCATCATAATGACTGCTGTTACTGACCATGATGGGAAAAAGCACAATAACTGTAGATTTGGACTGGGGTTTTGCCCAATGTTAATACCAAAAATGTCCAACAAACTAAAATGAGTAGAAAGTGTTTGTAGAGATGTTGCCAGTGTAGCCTACGTCATATTTTATGTTCACTTGTCAGCAAACACTGACTTTTAAAAAGCTCCTTACTGTTGTTAAATTAACTATGAGAGCCATCCACTTGTCAAAGTTATCCAGAACAACTTTAATTGGATTTTCCTGTCATGTTTCTTTTTAACATTTGACAAGATTAGATAAGGAATATGGGCCTAATATTGTGTCAGTCTTTGGTGATTGTTGATTTTTAATAGAATTTATTAATAAAAAAGAATTGACTTTAATTTATTTCTATCTACCCTCTTCTTCTATCTCCTGTCTCACTTACTGAGTAGTGGTGTCTTCATAAGGGTGTTTATGAGATGCTTTAGGCACACAGGGGCTAAAATCAATCCACAGGATACCCATTCAGTGCTTCATTTTAGGATGGCTGATAAACAACAGCATTTGGTGACCTTTTGCTGTTCTTATGGGGGATTTAACCCCCTGCTCAGAGCTGCACCACGCTGGTGACTCCAGCAGACAGGAGCATGATGTGCGCTGCAACTCAGATGGGACTTTCTTTCTGCAGGCATCACAGGATGTCTGCTCTGAAACAGTCTGATCACACATCCAGGTCCTCTGATTCACCGGACAGTGTGAGTCCAAGTCTGACAGGGATTTCAGACTCATCATTTAGAGTTACCGACAGATTGTAGAGGTCTGTTGTGTACGTGTGTGACAGAAAAAGAGGGGTGGTGGGGCTGGGGAGGACTCTTCTCTCTGTGGGACTCTGTATAAGATGCTTTCAGCAGCAGGCAAACTGGTTCTGCACTTACTGTGAGAGGGAGCTCTGAGTGTTTAGAGTACTCAGCCCACTTAATGCAGTATTATTGTTACTACATTCTTGAGAAGAATGGGGAAAATGGAACAAGGAATGCTTTTCAAGAGTCAAACCAGTGAAAGGTTCAATGTGAAGAGAGAGAGAGAGAGAGAGAGAGTGTGTGTGTGTGTGTGTGTGTGTGTGTGTGTGTGTGTGTGTGTGTGTGTGTGTGTGTGTGTGTGTGTGTGCGCAAGGGGGTAAACATCACATGAGTGTTGACTGTCTCATTCCTTCAATATTTACTCTCATTTTTTCAATAATGCTGTAATAAAAGGAGGCTGAGCTCAGATGTCATGTTTGTAATATTTTCTAAAGAAACAAACATTTATGCCAATGAAGAAAGAGTGACTCTCATTCCTCTACGTGTTTGTTATTTTGGTGAAATGGATGATGCAGTTTACTTGATTACTAACCGATCCAATTTCCTTATCTTATAATTGTCATAAGAAAAGCAAAGCTCCATTTGTAAATAGGGGAAGTGGTACTTTGGTCGTTTTTTTTAGGAAACCTAAGATTAAGTTTCCTCATTTATTAGTTTATTGTTTCAAGGCACAGCACTCCAAACAGTTTCTTCTGAGGTAATGTGACTTTAAGAAGATAAGAGCCCTCAGGGCAGGAGGTGCTCTGTTTCTCCTGTTGCACTACCAGTGCATTTGTCCTGCACAAGACATCTGAGTGTAAAGTGAACCTCTTTTCGTCAGGACGCAGACCTTTTAACAGTAAAAAGCAAAGCTTCAACAGTACTCCCTGCACCAGCGTTCACGGCATACATAATGGAGAAGATAAAGTTACCTGCTACTTTGGGGCTAAACATGACTGCTGATGATTGCCTTACCAATATTTGCATGTCCCTCTAAGTGATATTGAACACCCTTTAAACGACTGACCTAGGCACAGGCACTATTTTAAGTTGTTGGTTGAAATAAAAGGTCAATTATAAACCACGTTTCACACCATCATGGTGTTTTAAGAGGATGCAGGTTTCACTGTGGGTTGGGATTCTGACCAGGGTACCATAGCCATGGGTATCAACATCAACATAGGATGCACTGTCCCTTTAGAGATACAGACATAGTTATATTTGTTAGAGGGTGGATGTCTGCATTTGAGTTACAGCATATAGAAAGATTTACCCCTAACTAATGAGTAGTATATAACCTCAGACATGAGTGCTCTGACCTGTGATCATTATAACCTGCAAATACTGGAGTGTGCTTAATGTGATGCTTCACTTGCCCAAGTTTTTGTCAAAAGCGGATAAATGGTTTATGAGATACAAATGAACAAAGGAACAGACAAAACCCCTTGGACCTAATCAGTGTAATTACAGAAATGCTGGAACGCGATGGTGGGATGCATAATTTTCACAGGTTTTGGCAAAAAACGTTCCAGACTGGCCAAGGAAACAGATGGATGGATGAGCTAATGAAGGAACAAATAAAGAAATGAAAGTTGAATGACGGTATGGACAAACTTCTGCTTAAGAAATACTAGAAATGGCTTGAGAAGTGTGTATCTTTGTGAGAACCAGTTATCATGAAACAAACAATTCACTACCATGTCTGTTTCTGCCCATAGTCAGAGACGTAGTTAAGAGAGGATTAGCAGAGCATAACAGAAGGCCCTGAAAGCTAATCATTTCAGTCCCTTCAGTTTGATTCTGATGGGGGTCAAATAAATCCCTAAAACTTTGTTATTCGACACTGACCTTTGCATTATGTGAGCTATCCCTCAAAGCTCCTGCGTGGGTTCCTGTAATCAAGGAAGTTATGTTGTCTGAAAAAATATTTCATCCTCATGCCTTTAAATGATCAAATGAACCGCTCACTTTGTATCTATCTTAAAAAATGGCTTTTCTCTGGTAGATCATATGGCATGACACCTACCCCCTGCTGGTTAGGGCTTGCTGTTTTTTCCTGTTTCTTCCAAATTTGTATTATAACCAGTGACAGCCTCTGACGTTGAAAAATGCTAAGCTAATGCAAAGGAGCTAACACACTGCAGTTCCTTAAGTGTCCACATGAAGCTGGTTCAAAAGCCAAAGATCCTCTAATGAAGCCCATATCAGAGTACTAATTTTAAAGCAGAACAGAAACAAAACATTTCACTCAAGTAGGAGGAGTATGAATCAGGGCTGTGGATATCCTGTGCTAGCTGCCACCAGAACTACTAGCCAGTCTTATATGCTGGTTGTGTGGTTGTTGTGTGTTAACTGTAATCCAGTCATCCACGGCTATCTAGGGTTAAAGCCATAGACTGTAAATACTATGGACAACTTGGTTCCGCCTTCCGTTATTATACAAATTTAGAGCCAAATTATTCTCGATATTTCCAGGATTTTCTCCACTTCTTGAAAACACCATTTGCGCAGTAGCATTGTATGCATTTGGTTGGAGAGTCCCCGAGAGTTGCTGTGATGACGCTCGGCTAAAACAGTGTATCCCCCGGGTGAGCTAAACAATCTTCATATGCCCATAGGCTGTATCAAGTGTCAATCATAGAAAACATGAACCCCCTAATAACTTTACAGAAAAAAAAAGGACTTGAGCACTAGGGCCTGACATGGATATGGATTTTTGGGGCTGATGCCGATACATAAAGTATATATATATATAAAAATAAAAATAAATATATATATGTATGTATATATATATATATATATATATATATATATATATATATTTACATACTGTTGATATGTACAGTATACTTTATACTGTAGGCCAGAGCAGTAGATTAAAACAGAGTGGCGACACTCCCATAGACATACGCTGTACAGCCCGGCGGACCCCACTTCCGGGTTATGGAACTCGTAATAGTTCCAACATGACCGCCTGTCACGTCTGACGCCGTTCGCTTCTATGGCCACAAGGCAAGCGCTCACCGAGGTTAAATGATAAAATATCAACAAGTTTAATGCCAATACATGTGTTATTGATATCGAGGGGACCCCTTTATATGTAAAAATGTATATCCCAAATGTAATTACGTTGTTTTAGTCAGGAATTGGGATCGATTTTTTAGCCACGGTTTGCTCCCACACTCCCCGAGGTAAAATATTGTATCAATGAATGTAATGCCAATACGTGTGTAAATGGTATCGAGGGACCCCTTTATATGTAAAATGATTTTAATTTTAGTATGCTCAACTTGTAATTACAAATGTAATTCCCTTTTCTTAGTTAGGAATTGGGATCTATTTTTTAGCCACGGCCTGCTAGCTGGACGTCGTCAGCTGTAGAGGCCTGCCAAAATTTATTGTGTGACTGAGTTTTGAATCACAGATAAATCATCATCATCAATCATATGTTGAGATGGTTACTTATGGGCTTTATTTTAGATTTCAGCCTTTATCAGTTCCCGATGTTATATGCAGTTTATTCTTTTTAGACTAACATAAGTGCTATGTAATTTGATTTCTGCTTATGGGATGATAGAGTTAAGGGGCCGCTACTTTTTAAATCCTGTCAGCATTTAAGGCGTATGTGTAACATGAAAAAATGTTATGCAGGCCGTGCTGCAAGACCAAAACATTGCACAATTGTTTAAACAGCTTGTAACACCTGTTACTTACCACTTTATTGTATTATTTTCTCTTATTAAAAAGAAACACGTGTTACCAAACTTGTCTTATTTCACTTTTATTTGTCATCCAGCCGCTAAATATGCGTACGTGACTTTGACGTGTACACAGTAATCCAGTAAGAGTTGCAAATGTTGACTTTTTACGGTTAATTTTAATATTTACCTCTTAAATGCGCGCTCACTGCAGTCT